GCTGGTAATCTTGCTTGTTGAGTTTCGGTTTCCTCATTTTGCAGCTGAGAATTATTACCTGTTTGAACTATAATTACCTGTTTGAACTATATTCAGGGATTATAATAAGGATCAAATAATCATTACATGTTAGTGCTTTTGCAATGGATTATAGAAATACACATTTGATGGAGGTATCAGGTTGTGCTAGAGACTCTCAACATTTTATATTTCCTAAGTTCCTTTACCAAGGGAGCTTGCCACAAATGGTGATTCCTAAGATCTACTTCTAAACCTGAGTATCTGGGAGTAGGGCCACACTTGTAACTATGAACCTAGGTTGACTTTCATATACACAAAACATTGAGAGCCACCAAAAAAGAAATAAGTATTAATTTGATTTGATTTTTGATATTTAATATCTAATTAAGTATCTAACTTAATACATAATTAAATATGTAATTAAATTAGTGATTTAATCTAATTAGATATTTTGCTGATTTGTTGGCATGTATATATTTATACATGTGCATGTTATAATTCAATGAAAGAACCTTCTGGTTTACACTGCCAATACAGTTAATACTAGATTAAATAGTAAGTCATTTAAGTTGGCTAACATTTTCATCCATACTTTATAACTACGTTGCTGTGCTTTATTTCAAATGTTTTCTGAGATATACAAGGAGTGAAACCAAATGTTTTCACCTCATGAATCCAAATGAAGCCACGTGAATAGTAATAACACAGTTTTCTGGCTTTGCTAATTATGCAAAACCCTGGACCCCAAATAAGTCTCCACACATATTTTGTAAACTTGTTGGGTGTCTCCTATTTACCTATAATATGGTCTTCAAGCTGCAGTCTCCCTGTGGCATCTACAGTGACCTTTCTTACCAGTTCTGGTCCCTATGTTGAGTTCTCTTCTCTCTGAGCCATTAGAAGGTCCCACCCCTGTTACTGCAGACTGGATGCTGAAGTCCTTGCTAGGCGTGATGCCTTACAGTGCTTCTGGAACTTCCAGCCCTCGCCGTGTTGCAGTCCTGGTGAGCTCAGCAAGAAAACATAGAAACTGGTTCTCTGTTCTGTGACTCTTCTGGTTTCCTGGGGCACCAAGAAAAGAGAAAATTAAAGTATCTTTCCTATTTGGAAGGCATCTGAAAAACAATGATTTCTGCTTTGCCACTGAGCCTCAGAAACAAACAGTCGTTTGAGGGAGAGTGACAGCATTTTACCAGCTTACTTCTTTTGTTTGGTCCGCTATAATTCCTTTCTCCAGGCATGTTCCCATGCTACCCTACTCTTCCTTACTGAAAAAATAAAATGTTAGACCTTGAAATAAATGCTTGGCTGGATCTGGGAAGTCCATATACCCCATCAGACACTGCATATTTGTGAATAACTCTTTTAAGGCTCAGCTGAACTCAACAGCAGTAAAAATAGTAGGGGCAGCTAAAGGGGATAATGTCCTACCAAGTAGCTTTAAATTAATCATTAAAAAGTCAAATATTTTGAAAAGACTAATGATGAAAGGCAACCTGCTAGCTACCCTGCTGTCCTTTCCATCCCCCTATTTTCCACTGCCCAAATCAATCACTTTCAAAGTTTTGGAAATTTCTTCTTTTACTTAACTCTATACATTTAAATGATATGCTTATACTGTGAAGTCTTAGTTTTCTTTTTAGCATATGTATCACATGCTAACTTTTTGCAACCAGCAATGGTTATATATCTTTCACTCCATTCCCATCACCACCTTTCAAAAGGGCATCCTCTGTCCTCCCATCTTCCAACAGTTGTATGATTTCTGATTATGTCAGTGTTTCCTATTTATGTTATTGTGATTATATAACTATTTCCATGATTTTCTTTTTAATTATTTGTATTAATTTATGAAGTACAAGTATGATTTTGCTACATACATGGATTGCATAATGGGAAGTCAAGACTTTTAGTGTATCCATCATTCAGTTAGCATACAATCTCTCATCATCCACTCCCCTCTCAGCTCCTCGCCTTTCTGAGTCTTTCTTGTGCAAATCTTTCTGTTTTATCTCAGATTAATTTCTTTTTAACTTTAGCTTAGTGTTCTGTGTATCTATCACTAATTAGACCTGCAACTCCCACTAGAAAAGTAGTTATTTTCTTAATATATTTTAGGTTCATCAGGCATTCTATCAATTACACCTTCTTGGGTCACCTTTCTCAGAGCCATTTGTTCTGTCCCAGTCTTGGCCAGCTGCTATTTCCCTTTGTTGTATAGTTTTTATTTGAGAAAAATTTTCACTGTATTTTTTTGTGTTTCTATATCTCATGCTTGATGTTTGTTTTCTTGATTTAATGTATTCTTCTAACACCCCCTCCCTTTTTTATGAGCACATTTACAAAGAAAGGAAATATGGAACGTAAATTTATTAAGATTTGGCTTGTCTGAACATGTCTGTTGTATGCATTCACTTGGTTGAAATGCTGCTGGTTGTAAAATTCTAGGTTTAAACAAAACTTTGAGAATTTCGAATTCCATCTATTTGTGAGATTGAATGGAAGAATGTTCCATATTTTTATTATATATAAATTTACATAATACTTCTGTTTTCTCCAGAGTACTTCTCTTTCCATTTTGCCTGATATCCACAGTCCACAGTTCTTTTGGTTTAAGATTTCCTAAGGGTGAAGGGAAGAAGGAGATTTATAGTCTAAGTATTTCCTAAATGTACTTTGAAGCAATCCTGCTTGAAACCAGTTCTTCTTGTTTCATTTAGGGAGGTTTGTATCACTACTACTACTCCTCAGCCTTTGGTGTTACATATTATTGGATTGCTTCTCAATTTCCCCACATTAAATTAGGCTTCAGGTTTCTTATGTTTACCAGGTCAGCTAGCACTAATGAGCCACTCCTACTTTTACTATTCTATCTTTATTGTCTCCTTTCTATGATTGTTGGTATCTGCCTTTTAAAATTATTTTTTTTTTTGTCAGCATAGTGAAATTGAGAGGAAAAGGAAATAATTTGTGTATTCAATCTGTCATGCCATCTTAAACAGAAACTCAATATAAATTATGTCCTGAATTTTTTATTTTGAAATTTTTCAAAGTTATAGAAAATGTCCAAGGGTAATACAATGAACAGTGTACCTTCGTCTAGATAAAATAATTGATAAGCAATTGCCATATATGTATTACCCCCTCTAGGTGTATGTGCAAATATTTGTGTGTGTATATGTATATACACACATCAAAAACATAGATACATATACATATACCCTCTCTCTCTCTCTGTCTCTAAGCAAACTATTTGAAAATAAATTGCAGGCACAAGATACTTCATAAAGATTTCGGAATCTTCTAAGATCAAAGAATACTATTTTACATAGCTGCAATACCGTTATCACTCTCAAATATGTAACATTGATACAATATTACATAATACATAATCCCTATTTAGATTTCCTCAATTGTCCCAATATGTTTTATATATTTTTTTATCTAAGAGCCAAAAATGCATCATTGGCCTATTTCTGTAATAAATGTTAGTTTGAAAATCATATCCTTCTTTTACATTGCTCCTAATATTGACATTTTAAATAAGTACAGGCCAGTTTATTTATTTTTTTTTTTGAGATGGAGTCTCTCTCCATTGCCCAGGCTGGAGTGCACTGGCATGATCTCAGCTCACTGCAACCTCCAGCTCCTGGGTTCTAACGATTCTCCTGCCTCAGCCATCCAAGTAGCTGGAATTACAGGCACCCACCACTGCGCCTGGCTAATTTTTGTATTTTTAGTAGAGATGGGATTTCACCATGTTAGTCAGGCTGGTCTCGAACTCCTGACTTCAGATGATCTGCCCACCTTGGACTCCTAAAGTGCTGGGATTACAGGTGTGAGCCAATGTGTCCGGCCATACAGACCAGTTTCTTTGCAGAATGTTCTACAATATGTATTTGTTTAAATTTTTTACTTATGATTAGATTCAGATTAAATATTATTGACAAGAATAGTATGTAGGTGATATTATGTAGCTTCTTAAAAGCAAAAATTTACTATTGTTTTCATATGAGATAAACAATATTTTGTTTTCATAGGAGATCACAATATTTTGTTTTCATAATATAAAAGCACATATCAAAGTACATAAAAATAAATAAACCATATTTATTTTATGGTTATATCTATTTCAAATTACAATAAAGACTCTTCTAATAACTTTTTATTAGAAGCTAACTGAAATGCACTAAATAACCATCATATGTCCACTTTTATTCCCATTAGGCGTTGATGCCTTTATGATTCTGATGCAAAATTATAACTCAGTTTTCTCATTTTATGAAATATAAAAGTTGGAGTAGTCAAATTTTTATAGTCTCAGCTCTCAAATTTTATGAATCTATGAATAAGACATCACTTATAATTTTGAAAATGAAATAAATTTGAGGAAGGTAAAATTATGGAAAAAAATGTCTTATTAAAATGTTTATTATTTTATATAAATTGACAATAGACATATTACTTGCAATTATCTACATTTCCATATTTACGATTTATTCATGAACCACTGTAAATTGTCCAACTCTACACCAATAATGAGTGACTTCAAAGTTCAGCTCACCTCACTGTACTTGCAACTAGCTAAATTTGTATAGATTATTGCACATTTAGAGCAAAGGTCAAAGTAAAAAAAAAAATCCATAGTATAAGCTGGAAATCATTTTTACTTACTTGGCAATAAATAAAATATAATATTGCTCATATTACAAAGGAGAAAATACTGCTATCAATTTTATAGGCAGTTATTGTATAACAGCATCCATGTTAATACATGTAAGGAATTTGCCTTTTATTTAATTTTATTGAATTAAATCACTTTAAAGGTAGAATAACTGCAACATTATCATTTCATTTTGATTGATTCCATTGAGTAAGAGTACATTTTAAAAATCATCAGCGCCATTAGTACGGTGCAAGTAACTCTAAATGTAAGAAAATTTGAGTTGAAATGATGGTATTGCATTTTTTTCTTATAGGAAGCTCTGATCATGGCAAGTATGGATCATCCACACCTAGTTCGGTTGTTGGGTGTGTGTCTAAGCCCAACCATCCAGCTGGTTACTCAGCTTATGCCCCATGGATGCCTGTTGGAATATGTCCATGAGCACAAGGATAACATTGGATCACAACTGCTGCTTAACTGGTGTGTCCAGATAGCTAAGGTATGTGTCTGTTATTTCTATGGAAATGACATTTCTAGGTTAATATTTCCTAACCTAGAACAGTTTTAATATTGAAAACATGTCAAGGCTTCCCGTTTAAATAAAGTATATTTGCTACATTGAAAGATATATAACAGAGAGGCACTTTTAGGTAAACCACAGATTAAATGCATGATATATATTTTTAGATTAGTGTACTGTACCATTTTTATTGTATTGACTAGATGCCAAAACAAATATCTTGCTAGTCAGGGAGAATAATTGTTATTCTGGATGTGTTTGGCTTATTTGTTTTGGTATAGTCTAGTTAGCAAATAAAATCCAAGAAAAAAAAAGAGTTGAATATCTGAATTTTTTCATATTTAGACAATTTTTAAAAGTAGCCTGTATGTTTAATTCTCAGTATTACAAATGAGCAAAGTCTAAATATATTCTGAGCATTTTTGATGATTTTCAATTGGTCTTTAATGATTAGTAGTTTTGCTTCACACAAAGGCTCAGTCATGCCACATATATAAGGGAAGCGGTCTAGGGTGATGGGGAAGGTGGCTCTGTGGTTAACTAGAGAACGTCTGCTACTTTCTAGGGGACTGTGATTTATGGAATATTGCTAGTTATCTAATCTTTAGTTTTTTTTAAGAGTGGCCAGAATTCTGGATTTTTGTGATTTCCCAAATTTAAATCTTAAGTCAATTTTCGAAACACTTTAGGGTCTAAACAAAGCATTTTTGTCACACAGTCTGCTAGTATGCAACTTCCAGTGTACATTCTAAATGTTTAAAGCAACTATTTATGATTATCTATACCAAATATCTTTCTTGGTAATATTCTATTTCTAGAGAAATAGGTCAATGATAAGTTTTACTTACGTCAACTTTTAGTTACATCAAAATATGACCTGAAGTCTTATAGATTCTGTAGATATTTTTATCTATCCATTTGTACAATATAAATGCCAAAATGATAACATAGTGGTTTTGGCCTGTTTTTTAAATAATTTAATAATTAATTAAAGCATATTATAGAAAAAAGAAATTTGAGATAATTCTTAAAATTTAAACCCCAAAATTTATTTGACAGCAAAGCTCAGCTTAGTTTTATATATTATTGACAAGAAAACTATGTAGGTGATATTATTTAATATCATCCACTTATGTAATAACTGCAACTGTGAGTATTCTTTATGGTAATGGAGTTTGAAATATAACACTTCAGAAACTGATTTATCTGAGAATGTCTATAATTTATAAGGTGAGTTAAGCATGCAATAGAATTTCTCAAATCATCTTAGGGCTATAAATGAAAAGAAAGCTAAGCTTCAGGCTGGGCGCAGTGGTTCAGGCCTATAATCCCAGCATTTTGGGAGGCCAAGATGGGTGGATCACCGGAGGTCAGGAGTTCGAGACCAGCCTGACAAACATGGAGAAACCCATCTCTACTTAAAATACAAAATTTGCTGGGTGTGATGGTGCATGCCTGTAATCCCAGCAACACAGGAGGCTGAGGCAGGAGAATCATCTGAATCCTAGAGGTGGAGGTTGTGGTGAGCCGAGATCATGCCATTGCACGCCAGCCTGGGCAATAAGAGCGAAACTCTGTCTCAAAAAAAAAAAAAAAAAAAAAAAAAGCCAAGCTTCAAATTTGTTAGCTCTCTCTGTATTTTCTTCTGTGCTTGCCACAATTTAGGTTTTGTCCTTAAGATTGGTGTTATTAATATATCATTTATACAACATTGTACACTGTAATAAGAGAAACTACTTGGGAGTTCCCTGAATAATCACACAGTTTTATACCATTTTGCCTTTGCAAATGCCATCCCCTAAGCTTAGGTCTCCTCTTGGCTTCTTAATTCACACTGCATGATCTTATTCGCCCATCAACCCTGCTTGGGCTTCCTCCATTTATGGAGTCTGTTCTCTTCAACTCTTCTCTGCAGGCAGAAGTAACTACTTTCTTTTTTGTATTAATTTTGGTAGTTGATATATTGAACACATTTATATTATGTTAATGTTACACTATGCATTTACTATCTCTCTGCCTATATGGTAAGCTTATTTAGTCATTAATCTTCAACAGATACTGGTGGGCTTTTATTATGTTTCAGATACGATGCTGACTGAAATACATATATACAAATATATATATATATATATATATATATATATATATATATATATGGTAAACAACACATACAGGCCTGGGCCTGGTTCTCTTTGTGCACCCTAATGGATTGAACAGACATTCAACAAATGAAAGAATTAATTATAGGATTGAATACTGTGGTTCAGATTTTAAAGAAAACTAACTACTCGGGAGACTTAAGGGAAGACGCCACTGAGTCCTGAGGGAGAAGACTTCAGCTATGAGAATAATATTTAGGCAAAAGAAAGACCACACAGGGCCCTACAGATGTGGTGACTGAGACTTATCATCCAAATGGAATAATTGTAGGGGTGAAAGGAGACTCTATTACTAGTTATGCCAGGATAACAGGTACAGAAAAGTCCTAAACAGAGCATGTTATATGGCTATTCACTGTAGCAAGAAAAGTTTGAATTGTATGATAAGTGCTCCAGGTAGTTACTGAAATATTTGACATGCCATCGACATAATCTCATTTATATTCTAAATAGATCATGCTAGTTTATGTGTGGAGGTTGGATTGATGCAATATAAGAATGAAAATGAAGATACTAATTAGGAGCCTGGAGGCAGTGCAAATAAAGAGAAGTAGATGGAATTAAGATATATTTGGGGGACAAAATTTAAGGTATTCAATTATAGATTAGCTGTGGATGGTGAGGGACAGGAGTACAGTGAGACCATTTCCTGAGCTGGTGAAATGGGGGATGAACATTTGTAGGAACAAATCAAGATTTCAGTTTCAGACTTGGCACACTGGAAAAGTTTATAGAAAATGCAACTGGGGATGTTAATGAGGTAGCTAAATTTGGTCAGGGCTGTATATATATATATACACATTTAGGAATCATAGGTATTTAAATATATGGAAAGATAAAGGATTACATTGGGACTGACTATATCTGATTCTTACTTATTCCTGGAAACTAAAACTGGATCTTACATACAGTTAGCCATTCAATAAATATTTAGTAAATATTTTTAACCCAAGGAAATAACAAAATCTACCGTTAAGTGGGGATTCCCTTTTTTTCTATTTTGGGAGCAGAATTGTGTAGTCAAAACAGACTTAAGGTGAGAAACGCTATGTTTATAGGTTGGGGCCCACTTTTCAGTTTTGTGAGTTTGTGTTATTCAGCCTCTGAATTCTTGTTTCTCAATGTATATAGTGGCATTAATAATTACTACATATTTTCTCATCTGCAAAAATAATGTAATAAATGGTATATACCCATGGTAGATTGAATAATATCCACCCCCAAAGATGCTAATACATCCTAACTCCAGAATCTGTGAACGTTGTTTTACATGTTAAAAGGGACTTCGAAGATGTAATTAAATTAAGGATATTGAGATTAGATTTTGCTGGATTACCCAGATTAGCCCATTGTAATCACAGGGGTCTTTGTAAGTGAGAGGCAGAAGGATCAGAGCAGGAGACAGAAGATGTAAGAGCAGAACAGAGCTGAGTGGTGCACCTTGAAGATGGAGGAAGGGACCGTGCATTGAGGAATGTAGGCACCTCTAGAAGCTGGAAAGGACAAGGAAACAGATTCTCCCTTAGAATCTCCAGGAGAAATACAGACCTGCCTGTACCTTGATTTTAAAGTCTGGTGAAACTGATTGTGGATTTCTAATCTATAGAGTTGTAAGAGAATAAATTTGCATTTTTTCAGCCACTTTTCGCCCTAAGGTAGGCCCCAGTGTCTGTTTCCCTCTATGTATCCATGAGTTCTCATCATTTAGCTTCCATGTATAAGTGATAACAAGTGGTATTTGGTTTTCTGTTCCTTGTTAGTTTGCTAAGGATAATGGCCTCCAGCTCCATCCATGTTCCTGCAAATGATGTGATCTTGTTCTTTTTCATGGCTGCATGGTATTCCAAGGTATATATGTACCACATTTTCTTCCCAGTCTACCATTGATGGGCATTTACGTTGATTCTATGTTTTTGCTATTGGGAATGGTGCTGCAATGAACACACATGTGCATATGTCTTTATAATAGAATGATTTATATTCCTGTGGTTATATACTCAGGAAGATGATCGCTGGGTTGAATGATACTTCTGTTTTTAAAAGCTCCTTGAGGAACTGCTGTATTGCTTTCCATAGTGGTTGAACTAATTTATGCTCCCACCATACAACAATGTATAAATGTTCCTTTTTCTCCACAACCTTATCAGCATTCTGACTGGTGTGAAATTGTATCTCTTTGAGATATTGATTTGCATTTCTCTAATGATCAGTGATGTTGAGCTTTTTTTCATATGCTGTTGGCTGCATATATAACTTCTTTTGAAAAGTATCTGTTTATTCCTTTGCCCACTTTTTAATGGGGCTCTTTTTTTTCTTGTCTATTTGCTTAAGTTCCTTATAGATGCTAGATATTAGATCTTTGTCGAATATATAGTTTGCAAAAATGTTCTGCCTTTCTGTAGGTTGTTCACTCTGTGGATAGTTTGTTTTGCAGTGCAAAACCTTTTGATTTAATTATATCCCACTTGTCAAAGTTTGTTTTTGTTACAATTCCTTTTGGTATCTTCATCATGAAATCTTTGCCCATACCTATGTCCTGAATGGTATTGCCTAGGTTGTCTTCCATAGTTTCTATAGCTTTGAGTTTTACATGGCAATCTTTAATCCATCTGGAGTTGATTTTTGTATATGGTATAAGGAAAAGGTCCAGTTTTAATCTTCTGCATATAGCTAGGCAGTTATTATGGCACCATTTATTGCATAGGAAATCTTTTCCCCATTACTTGTTTTTTTGTCAGGTTTGTCAAAGTTTAGATAGTTGAAGGTGTGATGCCTTATTTCTGGGTTCTCTTCTATTTCATTGGTCCGTGTGTCTGTTTT